GCGACGGCTCTCGCCCCCCGTAAAGCGCCGAGTTTCTAGTTTCCGAAACGGTACCTCTTTCCTCCGAACGTCGCGAACCAAAAAACCGAAAACCGCGTCGACGTCATCGCAATTTCCGAACCACTACCAAATCAAACTACCAATCAAAAAATCGATCACCGCTTAATATAGTCGACTAGCGCAGTTCTGGCATGCTAACGCTATGCCAAATATTGTACGTTGATGTCTTTATTTAAAACCTCACGTAGCGCAGTTTCTAGCATGCCAACGCTATGCTAAATATTGTATGTTGATGTCTTTACTTAAAACCTCATATAGTGCAGTTGCTGGTATGCTAATGCAATGTTAATGATATACTTTGTCTCTATCTCTAATGATTTTTATCCTTTATCATCTTTGATCTGTTATCTGGTATCTGACATCTGACATTATCTGTTGTGAGTTATCAGTTGTCAGTTAACATCTTCCATATAGCATTAAAAATACCTTCTATAAAATTGTATAACATACTCAGATTTATGTGAGGAGCCGGAAACGTCGCATCTGTCGTTGTTAATAACACAGATGGCGTTATAAAATATAGCATACAGCATTTATGTCCTCTACAAAAATTGTATAATAAACTCAGATTTAAGTGAGGAGCAGGCAACGTTGCATATATATCTGGCAATCAGGTGATGTGCCAAAAAAAAAAAAGCGCTTGACTGCCATAAATCAATCGTGTTCGCCTATGGACAGCACGGGACTGACTGTTCTTTTTTCAGTGTAAATGCTTTTTGTTTTGTGATGTTAAGTCAATGTCATAGGTTTTTTCTAACCTAGAAAATACAACATAATGAAAAGAAAAATTATGTTTCTGAAAGTTAATTCCCAAATGTCATTATATGAAAAGTATTGAGATTAAAACAAATCATAGTTATGCTATTTTTTCAAAAAACACTGGATAACATTATCCGTATCTACGTATGTGGAGGATCTGAAAACAACTGTAATTATGTGGTATTCACCACACCAAATTTGTTCTATTCTTTTATAATTTCTTAGAACATCAATATTTCTTTTAGTGCTAATATGCTTTGCGTTGAAAACAAAGCTGTCCATGTTCATATGGAAATTTCGTTTTTAAATTGACCAAGCATTCGATGGTTAAAGTATGTCTACATATTTTATTAACACCCATCATACGTAAACAATATAGATTTTAATAGTATAGTTATATTAAAGCATTATTAACAGTTATTCAACGTAAAAATTATACTGGTGCACATAACGAAGGTTATGTAATATAAACAAAATGCTGTTCTAACTTGGCGCCAAGTTATAACTGCAAAAAATGTAGAAAAGGCCTTCAGTTTGGAATTTTCCTTACTTTTCTTGTACAAAATTATCAATGGGCACATTGATTGCCCCCAACCATTAAGAATCACCCTGTAGTTCTCTGATTGTTCAGAAAGCTATGTTATAAAGATGTATTTTTATTGATTAGAAAAAAATTTCATACATTCTGCTGTTCCATCATTTTTATGAATTATCAGTTGATTTGTCCAGGCATTGTTTAGTTTACAAGACGTCTGAATGTTTGAAGTTCTTTTCAAATAATGATCTGAAACTTAATGTTCTCTTCCCAAAATAATAATATATCATAGTTTAGCAAAATATCTATATCAAGTTGCTGTTATACTGGAGTATTTAAAGTTCCGGTGGATTTACAAAAGAGAGCATAGCCCATCTGACACTGCCCTGTGGGCATCCATGTTATTGTTCAATAACATATGGCTTGGATGGCATTGAAATTATAGTCAGCTTTGCATATCAACCCTGCTGCTCTAAGAATGGATGATTTGAAATGAAGTGTGGAAACTGTTTTCGACAAAAAGCAGTATAAATCATCACTGGTTATTGAGTCATATAAAAACTTACAAATATTGTTTGCAAATCTCCTTCAGAGCTGTGCCTTTAGGTTAGATCACAAGTAATCTCCGAGCTTCTGATAATTCTCAGGATCTCAGGGGTTGACACCGGTGGCTAAACTCTTCTGTTCAAAAAGTTATACGGAGATTTCAACAGGTATGATCTTCAAATGTTACACTTCTCAAATGAGTAACTGCTGCATTTCTGATCTTCCTCAGCATTTCCAGAAGCCTATCTATTGACTGGAAACATCTTACCAATACTAAAGTTTTGATTTGGAGTTTGTCTTATAGTATTTACAAATATATTAGAACTGTGGGTATTTACATGTTTATACTTCGCAATTCTGAACAAAAGGCACATGTCTCAAATAATATAATAGGGACGTTATTCAATCAAAATGAAATGTTTATGTTAGAAGAAATGAAAATGGCTTGCGAAGTAAGGTTATTTTTGCAAAGCACACAGCTATAGGAAGCAATCTACTAGAAATTTGAATCTGACCAATCAGACAACGTCAGTTGTGAATAAGCGGCACATTTTTTGAGGGTACAACATGATTGTCATATTGTGCACCCACAACACTGCTTTGTTTCCCATTCGCTCATGAGTTTCATCCCTTTGTATAGCGCCATAAAGAAGCCTTCCGGAAATTTAAATCTGACCAATCAGACAATTTTTAGAAGGTGTGACATGGTTGTCATATTGTGCATCCATAGTAGTGCTTAGTTTCCCATTCGCTCATATGAGTTTCACCTCTTTGAGTATAAGGTTAAGTAACGTGTTTTGTGTATGCAACAAGACATACGCGTAACTGTAACGACTGTTGCAACCACTTGGCTGTTATAAATACACAGCTATATTTAATCTTGTAGACTTTTGGTCTCTTTAGAGTGGATTAAAATTAAGTGTCATGTAAAATTGTGGCACTAATTAGGGTTTACAATCATATTTAAGCCGATAATGACTTGTATAAACTCCTAAATTTCAAGTTGCCTAGTTGCGGGTAAACATTGAAACGTTGCCAAATCGTACTTGACTGTTATTACCATTATAGTCCGGTATGTTTAGAATATAGAGATTTTAAATCTATTCAAAAATATTTACTTTCACGCCTAAAAAAGGATAATACTTATCGGTATAATCCAATATTGGATGGAGTGATCGTCATAAAGCCGAAAATGGTACGTTTTAGATGTTTCGGTATCACGCGCTTGATGGAGTAATTTTAAAATATCTAAAATTTTCAATGGAAACGAATAATGATGAAAACAGTTGCAGATTTGAATCCGAGGTATGAGCTTTCTTATGTAAAAGCCGCCAAGTCCGTATCTTTGTTATCTTCGGAGAATATAGACTATAGACAGTGAAAATAGAAAAACCCTCTTTAATCTCCTACTATTCTCTATGTTTTAGGGCTGTGGTGTCAATCGTTTCTACAATTGTTATGACCTTATTAATTGTCATAAATCAAATCCAAGGGAATAACCACAATGTTTGTGTTATGTGCCGCGGTTATAATATGATTCAAGATGACGTCAGTTACACGAATCGCTTGAACGCATTGGTTTTAACCGCGGTTTTGTTGCAAGTTGTTTATTTTAGAAAAGCGCGTATATGATTTCTGATTATTTTTATTATCACTTAATAATTGGTGCTTTTTCGTTTACAACTGTATATGGAAAGTTTAAATAAGAAACCTGTCATAATATTCATGGGAGAAATGTTTTTTCAGATTTTTTTTTTTAATGATGGAACCATGGCTTTGAAGCTATGATCACTTTCAATTCTCTAAATTTTTCCGCGTGTCAAAGAAAACATTTATTGATTCAGCAGAAATGATGAAAAAAGAAATTAGCAAAAGCGTATACAGGTGGATATCATCTAGTCAGTTTATATGGCCATATTTTAATATTCTTGTGGTATATGGCTACACAGGATAGTTTGTTAAAGCATAAGACTACATTTAAAGTGCTCCCAACAATAATGAGTATAATTATAAGGTGCTCCACTGTATGGTAAAACTGAAGTCAGCCTGTATCAATGTTCTCAAAATGAAGCTGATGAGTACAATAATAATATCCAATACTCGGCAAAATTCTAACTGGTCACATTTCAAATATAATCAGAACTATTAAAACTACTTTTAAGTTGGGTAAATACCACAATTTTGCGGTGATAACTCTGACATATAACAGCTGATTCGTGACGTCACGGATCTTATAACCAAATTGATAATTACACTCGGTTGAACCGATCGGTAACTACCAATCCAAAATGGTAAATACCATTTTCCATTTGGTTATCCGCTTGAATTTGATTATAGTTTGTACAGTTTTTCAGAAACGTTTCTGTTGTTCCGTGTCAGCGCTTTATTTTCAGGTTATGTTTTATTAGCCTGAAATTTCGTATCATTAAAATAAAACAACCTCACAATAGGACAGCCCTGGCAATGATATGGAACAGTAGAAATCTAATACATAAACCTTTTTGAAGGATAGAAAAGAGTATGAAAATGAAGGTTATAATAGCGTTTTACGAGACAATTGTAGGAACTATTGATGATAGCGCCCTTAAGTGCCTAGTTGTTTTAGTGTGGTTAATTAAATGCTATATACTGTATGTGACTTCTACCTTTCCCTATCTTCTTACCATTTTTTAATTCTATACGTTTAAAAGTATTTTCAAAGATCAGAACTTCTGAACGGTCAAAGAATGAGGTTTGAGCAATTTTTACTTCTTTTTTTTTCACTATCAATGAATCGATTTCTAAAAATTATAAGGATTTTTCGTTCTTGGTATAGCAATACCTGCTTAAACGAAAATCATTTACTCTATACGTTAGGTAGTGATTATTCACAAGAAATTTAGTACGCCTTGAGGATAGTACGTGTATCTTCTAGTGACACAATAAACACCAGAATCTGTTTTAAGCCGATGAAACTTTCTATTGTCAAATAACTTTTAATAGCGGTACGATGTGATCTGAAATATTAATATTTCGTAAAATTGTGACTGTTGAAACAATTTGACGAATTTTCTTTTAAGCTGAAAGTATATACAGTATAAGGGATAAGAAATTAAACAAGTGATATTCAATTATATATTGATTTATTTTGAAAAATTACAATTTATTAGATTTTACAGCTAACAATTAATATAAGAAAATTGGAAAAGTGATAATAAAGAATGATCTATGTATTCATTGTAAAGTCTATTAGGTTTTATAACAATTGATATTTTTGAATGGCATTTATCAATCATCGTCGAAGTATAATTCGTTAGGATCTAACATCAGCGTGAAGATATTAAATGCCTAAAAAAATTTATTAAATATAAAATTATCTCTAGGAGTATATGTGTATTAAAATAACTTACATAAAAATTTTTGATTATCAGATTTTACTATGTTGATGTGATAATTTGTAGTATTGTAGTTGTACATAGTAATAGTATAATAATGGGTACATATTATTTAGGTGGACTCTGTTTTGCTTTATATAGTTATGTGTTCTACAATTTAAATATACTGTAGAAAAGAATCTGAAATGGCAAGATTATATAGTAAAATTGCTAGTAAAGTGGCATTTCGTTTTGTTTTTGGAAAAAAAAATTACCTGACTGCCTTTAGTTTTCATTAAAGTTTGCTTTTAAAGTTATCCTTCATCTATAGTTTATTATCAATACAGCTGACAGGGACTGCGAGGAATATTGTTGATTTCTTTGTAGAGAGATCGTTCCATAGTGGCGTGACAATTTCTATTTCTGAACAGGTTGCAAAGTAGAATTCACATCAACATTGTCACCATTTATCATCATTAAACGAAATAATAAAACAGTGATCTGTAACTGATTAATGTTAGATGAAAGGATTAATTTGCAGCTCTCAGCTAGTCCATGTTCGGACCTACCCAGGACTCACCGCGCGGAGGGTAGCTGCAAGTCGAGTCCCACCCTCCTTCCACCCGTCTTTCAGTTTCAATAACATGATAAATACTTATTACAAAAGAAAAAAACTGAAACTGTAAGACGCACAAAATTAAACGTAAAATCTGATTATTCAAAAATTGAAAACAAATACAAAACGACTATGAATAATATATATCTGAAAAAAAGGAAATCTAAATAAGTAAATAAATATTTAATTGAACAAATGGTAAATGGTTGTTGAATTAGGTGTTTTATAATCCTTGCATACATTAAATTGCTTCTTAATTTGTACCAAAAAAAAAAAACCATTTACCAAAACTTAATGTATCATCTAAGTTACTTCGCTCTCTTGTTGTTATTTATTTCATTGATTTTTTTGTTTCCTTGTTCTATAATTTCAAGTATACTGAAAAAAATTGGTAACGGAAAATTGTATTTTCCATCTATTTTCGCAAAAAATGATTGCCAGTGTTTATTATTGTTTCTCATTAGACTATGTTTCCCAAGTTATTCTTCTTCCAGTATTCATATTGCAAAAATTATCTAGGTAGATCATATCCCTTTTTCATATGATTTCATTTTCCATCATGTCATCTGAAAAAAAAATTATAATGCAGGACTTTTTGTTAAAATGTCAGATTCTTAGAAATATTTAATATCTGTGTATAGTTGATACCACTAAAATAATGTACATGAATGTTTTCAGAACAATATCTTATATCAAAGAAACTTACGTCAGATGTTTCAGACATTAGTATCCATTCTGTAATTGTATAGATATATGGTTTGCTATAATAATGCGTAAACACTATTAAGTGGATTTTCTTTCTGTTGTGTCTTTTGTTTTGTAATTTTAATTTTACTGAAAGAGAAACCTGAAAATGGAGAAAATGCAGATGATATAGATTGCATTTTCCATCTGTTTTTGGAAAAACATGATTGATTGTCATCTTTCCTATTATAGTTGCTTCCAAGTTGTCTTTTTCTCAGCATTAATATTGCAGTTTATGGTTAAGTCGAGTTTTTCTTCTTTATAAGGTTTATTTTTCCAAGCTGTTTCTGTTACATTAACATTATGGTAATAGCAGACAACATATAATCACAGATTTTTAGACCTTCCAAATGTGAGCGTTTCGTAATTTTTGTGATCTAATATTGGATGCTCATTAATCAAGTGGGGTTTTGCTTTTTCATATATTGTTTTGTTGTTTAGTATTTTAAATAACCTGAAAAATAGACCTAAAAATGGAAATATTGTTGATGATGTAATCTGCATTTTATATTGAAAAGTTTCTCGGACTATCTCCATCTGTTGTTGCAAACTATGCATCCTTTTTTCAGTATTGATATTGTAGTTTTTAGCTTGTAGGTTCATCGTTGATATTCCTTACATAGTTTATTTTTTCAACGATTCATCTAAAAAACGTAAATGGACATACATTTTTTGTCAACAAAACTGTTTATATCTTATAAATATGATATGGTTTTTGGTAAATAAGTCGTAGCTGATAGGATTAAAATGTACAATAAGATGTTCAGAAGAATATTTGTGAAAAATATTTTGTATAACTTACATAAAAGTCCTTATTTGACCCATTAGTATTGTATACACAGAATAGTATATGGTAACATGATTTTGCTTGTGAAATTATGGTTCCTCCACTACCATTTATGTTGTAATTTATAGTTAGATCAACCTTTTCTATTTCTTTATGTTATTTGCTTCTGTAGCGGTTGAGTACAATGGTCTTTGAAATATATCTACATTCCATATTGTATAATTTTAAATAAACTGAAAAATAAAGCTAAAAATGGAAAGATTGTTGATGGTGTAATCTGCAGTTTGTATTGAAAAGTTCTCGGACTATTTCCATCTGTTGTTGCAAACTATGCATCCTTTTTTCAGTATTAATATTGTAGTTTGTAGCTTGTAGGTTTATCGTTCATATTCCTTGCATAGTTTATTTTTTCAACGATTCATCTAAAAAAAGGGATTAAAATGTACAATAAGATGTTCAGAAGAATATTTGTGAAAAATATTTTGTATAACTTACATAAAAGTCCTTATTTGACCATTAGTATTGTATACACAGAATAGTATATGGTAACATGATTTTGCTTGTAAAATTATGGTTCCTCCACTACCATTTATGTTGTAATTTATAGTTAGATCAACCTTTTCTATTTCTTTATGTTATTTGCTTCTGTAGCGGTTGAGTACAATGGTCTTTGAAATATATCTACATTCCATACTGTATAATTTTAAATAAACTGAAAAATAAAGCTAAAAATGGAAAGATTGTTGATGGTGTAATCTGCAGTTTGTATTGAAAGTTTCTCGGACTATCTCCATCTGTTGTTGCAAACTATGCATCCTTTTTTCAGTATTAATATTGTAGTTTGTAGCTTGTAGGTTCATCGTTCATATTCCTTGCATAGTTTATTTTTTTAACGATTCATCTAAAAAAAGGGATTAAAATGTACAATAAGATGTTCAGAAGAATATTTGTGAAAAATATTTTGTATAACTTACATAAAAGTCCTTATTTGACCCATTAGTATTGTATACACAGAATAGTATATGGTAACATGATTTTGCTTGTGAAATTATGGTTCCTCCACTACCATTTATGTTGTAATTTATAGTTAGATCAACCTTTTCTATTTCTTTATGTTATTTGCTTCTGTAGCGGTTGAGTACAATGGTCTTTGAAATATATCTACATTCCATATTGTATAATTTTAAATAAACTGAAAAATAAAGCTAAAAATGGAAAGATTGTTGATGGTGTAATCTGCAGTTTGTATTGAAAAGTTTCTCGGACTATCTCCATCTGTTGTTGCAAACTATGCATCCTTTTTTCAGTATTAATATTGTAGTTTGTAGCTTGTAGGTTCATCGTTCATATTTCTTGCATAGTTTATTTTTTCAACGATTCATCTAAAAAAAAGGGATTAAAATGTACAATAAGATGTTCAGAAGAATATTTGTGAAAATATTTTGTATAACTTACATAAAAGTCCTTATTTGACCCATTAGTATTGTATACACAGAATAGTATATGGTAACATGATTTTGCTTGTGAAATTATGGTTCCTCCACTACCATTTATGTTGTAATTTATAGTTAGATCAACCTTTTCTATTTCTTTATGTTATTTGCTTCTGTAGCGGTTGAGTACAATGGTCTTTGAAATATATCTACATTCCATATTGTATAATTTTAAATAAACTGAAAAATAAAGCTAAAAATGGAAAGATTGTTGATGGTGTAATCTGCAGTTTGTATTGAAAAGTTTCTTGGACTATCTCCATCTGTTGTTGCAAACTATGCATCCTTTTTTCAGTATTAATATTGTAGTTTGTAGCTTGTACGTTCATCGTTCATATTCCTTGCATAGTTTATTTTTTCAACGATTCATCTAAAAAAAGGGATTAAAATGTACAATAAGATGTTCAGAAGAATATTTGTGAAAAATATTTTGTATAACTTACATAAAAGTCCTTATTTGACCCATTAGTATTGTATACACAGAATAGTATATGGTAACATGATTTTGCTTGTGAAATTATGGTTCCTCCACTACCATTTATGTTGTAATTTATAGTTAGATCAACCTTTTCTATTTCTTTATGTTATTTGCTTCTGTAGCGGTTGAGTACAATGGTCTTTGAAATATATCTACATTCCATATTGTATAATTTTAAATAAACTGAAAAATAAAGCTAAAAATGGAAAGATTGGTGATGGTCTAATCTGCAGTTTGTATTGAAAAGTTTCTCGGACTATCTCCATCTGTTGTTGCAAACTATGCATCCTTTTTTCAGTATTAATATTGTAGTTTGTAGCTTGTAGGTTCATCGTTCATATTCCTTGCATAGTTTATTTTTTAACGATTCATCTAAAAAAAGGGATTAAAATGTACAATAAGATGTTCAGAAGAATATTTGTGAAAAATATTTTGTATAACTTACATAAAAGTCCTTATTTGACCCATTAGTATTGTAGTAAGTATGAATACACAGAATAGCATATGGTAACATGATTTTGCTTGTGAAATTATGGTTCCTCCACTACCATTTATGTTGTACTTTATAGTTAGATCAACCTTTTCTATTTCCTTATGTTATTTGCATTTGTAGCGCTTGAGTACAATGGTCTTTGAAATATATCTACATTCCATATTGTATAATATTTGTCCAAGAAAGAATTTCTTATTATTTTTCTTCATTTTACTGGATTATGCTGCTTTGCAATAGTTCATTATATACTACGTTAACAGTGTAAGAGTGATTATTTGGAGTTTCAGCTACATGTTGACGGTCACCTATATTTATCATTTGAATCTTGAGGTTTTCAAAACTTCTTGCTCTTGATAGTGCAACATACAGTTGTCCGTGATCAAATACTGTTACTGGTAAAAATAAGCCGACACTGTTCAAAGTTTGACCTTGACTTTTATTAATTGTCATTGCAAAAGCCAGACGTACAGGGAATTGTCTCCTTTTCAAGTTGACTGGTAGATCAAGAGAATTTAGAGCGATATTATCAACTCTGGAAATAAATTCGATCGAAGGTTCATTATTAGATTCTTCCATTCGTTTCGCTTCTATAAAATTTTCGTGTAAATTATGAATCAATAAACGTGTGCCGTTACATAAGCCTCTCTTCACATCTAAATTCTTCGTTAAAATGATAACTGCGCCAATCTTTAGTGTAAGTATGTGGGGAGGAAGTCCTGGAGCATCCAAAGAATTTAAAAAGTCTTGCGGCCATGCGGAATCTAAATCATCAGCAACATTTTCGGTTGTATCGTCTTCTCGGATAATACTATCGACACTTAGGTATTGCCGTGACCTACCTGGCAGTTTTTCTAAAACAACTGAATTGATATCCTTGACATGAATGTTTAGTGGAGACAAAATCGCTTTTTGTAATAATGTGAAATCGTGTTCAGTTAAATTACTACCGTATATGCTTTCAGTAACATCTTCTACAATGATACGATTAGGAATTTTAACTATAGTGTCTCTGCTATTTTCTAAGCGACGTAAAATTTCGGAATTATTTCCTATGGTCATCAGCCAATCTTTGAATTCGTTTTCTTGTGGCAATGCTCTAACGTTCGTAACAAGATCGTACTGAACAAAGTATTGCCATAGTTGGGAACATTTCACTGATGCAGAAATAGTTTCATTTTTGCCTGCCAACGGAACGATAGGTGCGCATTGCCTGAAATCACCTAGAATTATGATAATCTTGCCGCCAAATGGAATGTCATTGTTCATTATTTCTCTTGTCTTTCTATCTATCTCATTGAATATACTTTTATGTACCATAGATATTTCATCAATGACAATAATTTTTGAATATCTAATATTATCAGCAATTGTACTCTGATTGCGAATCCTCGACGTTGAATTTTCTAGAAATGGAACCGGTAACATAAAAGAAGAATGAATCGTTTGGCCATTTTTCAATAAGCTGGCTGCGATGCCAGTATAACACATAGCAATATAACGGTGATTATTTCCTAGTAAGTAAGCCAGTAGTGTATTTAACAGAAATGTTTTTCCTGCACCTCCAATTCCGTTAATAAAAAATAGACGATGTGGAACCCTTTCGTTTTCGTTTAGGGCCAAAAGTATGTCGTTAAAAATAAGGCGTTGTTCTTGGTTTAACAGAGGAATGTTCCTATTAGCAATTTGTTGTTCGTCTGCTTGGTCATAATTGTATTCATCTTCGATTAGGTGTTCTACTGGTTCAGTGGGTAAGGGTAGTTGAAAGTCTCTATTTGATTTGCCTAAAAATAAAAATGTATGTGATTGAACAAATATTATATAATTATACTGGGAAATTACATATTAATATTATTTTAAAATAATGTAGTATAGGTATAAAATCGATTGAAACAAAAAAATGTATTATGTTATGTTAAATTAATAGTGTTAAAGATATTGACGTAATGAATTAATTAATATTTTTTTAGCACGATAGTGTTACCTAGAAAATGATTAAATTTAAAAAATTTCGAATACGGAAATTAATGATTTCAGTATGCTTAAAAAATGTAAAGTAAAAATAAAAAGTTATTTGAAAACATAGGCATCAATTTTAAATGAATTAATAAAACTAATTATTGATAGAAATACTAACCTTGTAGTGTTAGATATCGATTAATGTAAGCCAAAGCATAGTTGTAGGCTAGTTCGTTATTATTTAAGCGTCGTATATAATCTTCGGATAAATGATATTTAAATTGTTCCCATAATGCTAACGGATTTTCGATTTCACAAAAAAGTAACATTTGTGAAAACATACGACGAAGAGCTCGTGGAATTTCTACGCGTACAGCCTCTTGCAAAGTAGAAAACCAAATGCTATCGTCCGTGAGAAGGTTCATCGCAATAGCAGCGTCACGGAACGTTTCGTACGTACGGCCATGTACAGTTCGAAGGTCTTCGAATGATCTACATCCTGTTTTATGCAAAAGAAGTTGACGAAGATAAAATCGTTCACCTTCTCTAGGATGAACAAAATATAACCTAGGAATTAAACGATCAAAATTTCGTTGACGTTTTACCCAATGTCTTGTTTGACTTATTTTCCACACATACTTATAAGGTATTTGTACGTAAGTGTATTGCCTAGCTTCTTCGTCTTGTACATTCAAAGCGAACCATCCTGTTAGCGTAGTGTGTTGTGTTGCGGCTCTTTCTACAACGTCAGGGATGGTACTATTTGTATTAAAATAGACTTGTTGCATATTGGGAAGATGTACAGTAAGTTTGATGATAGCATGAGACATATCGTGCATTTCGAATGTATAAATTCTCCACATTGCCTCAGGTGCGCTAACATAGCGAACGTCCATGAACGTTTGAATTTCGTTGTATACAGGTTCCTGAATAGTTGTTGTTTGACCGTCTTGTTCCTCTACAGTTCGCACGACAATTTGAGCTCTATCAAATCCCTTATATATATATTTAAATAAATATTTCACGCTTTTTATTGAAGAACAAGCCTCCACGTTAATATGAGCTTCGTATTTTTCAAGTAGATAAGCATTGTATGGTACAACCCAACCGTTATCTACTGTTCTTCTACCTATGTGTATAGGTACTTCTATTGGCCGTCTTTTATATAGCGGATATCCAGAGGAATTGTATAATGTATCTTCACGCAAAGATTTCGGGAATTGTTTGCTGCAATGTCCTTCGTCATCTAAGCATCGAGCAGCAGTACAAGGTCCATGAAGCATATGTACTTTGACCAATTCGTGCAAGTTGGGATGCGTGATAGGGTCGGGAAATTCTGCTGAAATTAAACGGTCGATTGCTGCAGAGTCCAAGATTTTATCTGATCCTTCCAACCAAATCAACATATGCGCATGAGGAAGTCCTCTTTTCTGAAATTCTATCACGTAAACGTAAGCAACGCAAATTCCCATGACATGTCGTTTATCAATATCTTCTATTAATTCCTTCAATTTGCTCTTAAACACCCTCGAAACAAAATCGGGCCTATTTGAGGAATGTTGGTTTGTATCTAGGTTATTCCTAATTTCAGGCCAAACAGGATTGCAAGTAAATGTTAGGAAAATATCTGGTTTCCCATGTTTTGTGACTATAGACATGGCATCCAAATAATTTTGTCTAAATGCGCGTGGGCTTCCTATGAATGTTGACGGTAGGATGAAAATATTGCCTGGTTGATAGTGAACATCAAGTTGTCTAGAGTCTAAATAGTCGATTAGTCCTTGGAATATTTCTTGCCTGATGCGTGGTTGGTTTTCAGTAATAAATTGTAATCGACTCTGTTCTATTTTTACGTATGCATCTACGATGTATTGTTGCGTCAGCTTGCCTGCCATTACAAATTGGTTGAAAGTATCTGGTCGAACAGCTATTCTAAAACTGTAGTATTCCAGTAAGGATACATCACCTCTTCTACGTTGATGCGCTGTTCCAGATTGCCAGCCTGGCTCACCTCTTGGATGTAATAGGGGATATGTCATTGCGTCGCAGTTAACACTAAGATATGGTAATTCGTGGATGATTTGATCGTTGTTTCGACAATAAACATGTAAGCAACGATCCAGGGGCGGTCTTCCATCTTCAGAAATAAAGACGGCTGCTATTTCATTCGCTTGTACTGCGCCATATTGTCTAAAATTAATATCCCGAGCACGGTTGTTATTGATGTACAATTCTAAAGTTAGTTGACGATTGTTATGTTGTTGTTCCTGATAGACATCTTTAAGAAATCTATACGCTTGAGCAAAAGGATTGTGGCTGTGCATGTAATTAGAAATAACATCGACGGTTTCTCGATTTAATTCCGTTCGATTTTGCGGGCCAGCAGACCGAAGCTGATTTGCCAGTTCGGTATCCAAAAAATATAGATTGCCATATTGTCTGCGTTCATTAGAAATATTTGTTGAAACATTTGATATATAATGTCTTATTTCTCCCTGTACCTGTAAAGAAAAGTAAATTCATTATGGAAGGGATAACGAATTTATTAATATTATAAGTGGTTTAAAAAAATGAAATAATTGGTGTCTAATATATAATTGTTCTTTGTATATGAATAAAATAAATAGTATTGTAAAAAAGATACAAGTAAGATATGAAATATATATTGGGAAAGGTTGGGAAATCTCGAAACTGGATATGTTACAGACCAAAATGTGTGAATTGACTTAAACATATCTCAATCTAAAAGTTGATAGTTTGCGAGATACAGGATGTCAAAGTTACAATTTTATTTTCTATTTTTCCTTAATGTTTGAGAAGTATTTCAGATGTTGCCATAAAACACGGTATAGGGAGGTCTTCTACTATAAGAAACAAGAATTCGTTATTTTTCATGGCCAAACTTTTTGAGGGCGCCCATACAGTACTATTTCGGTAAATAAATCATCATAAGTTTGTTGTGCTATTTTAACAACAGTTAGAAGTGTATAAAGCTAATAGTTTTCGAAGAAGTAGTTTTTAAAAATACCAATGCATTATTTGTATTATGACGATAAATTATTTTTACAACATAATAATCAAGTTGCTTTAGATAATATCTGGGTAGCGTTGCTATGGTTTCTAATGTTCGGCATAAGATTATTTTAAGGTCTATGAATAATTTTAAGTTGACAATAAAACGTTTACCATCTTGGAATATAGGTTTGATGAATATTCTGATGAGAATTTAATATATGGATTAGTAAAATGTAGTGGTTTAAAAGCACGAAGATTGTACGCTGACAGATTCTCTAATAGTCACTTGCCTAATTCAAAGATTTTCCAACGAAATGATCAGTGGTTATGAGAAACTGATAAGAAATGATTATAGTCTTATTTTGAGTAGTAAATACCATTTGCATTTTAGTTAAATTTGCTCGAAGTATGGGCCAACATACTGGAGTTCTCAAAATTGTACGTACAGCTGAAATTGAAGAAAATGTTTTAGATGTTGTCTTTGAAAAAATTGTACAGTTGAGGTTGGGAATGTAGTTCGAGAATATCAAGTTTCCAAATGTTCCGTATATACCACCTGCAAAAAGTATATGGTTTAAGAGCGGATGAAGAAACCGCAAGGGTAGAAATTTGTACATGGCTCTTAACTCGCAAAATCTTTACATGTATGCAATATATCCTCATGAAATAATATAAACCTGCCAAAAAGTATAATTTCAAATTAATTTATATAGAAGAAATGTTCTTCTAGGGTGATTTAAAACGACGCATTTACAATACGTCAGTGGAAATTGTAGATGATCTTCAACAAAAAATGTTCTACCATAGTTAGGAAATGAAAAATAGTATCGACGTTTTGGAGAATGCAGCAAGGATTAGTTCGTCGAATTTGAAAGTGTGTTAGACAAGGTAGTGCTCATTTTGAACAACTTTTGTAGTTATTATTTTCGTTTAGTAGTTTTGTTGACATTTTCATCTATTATTGTTAAAAATCATAGCAATGCTACTCACATATTGTATAAAGCAACTTGATTATTATGTTATAAAAATGATGTATCATCATGGTATAAACAATACAATGGAACTTTAAAAAACAAATATCTCGAAAACTATTAGCTTTAGACATTTCAAACAAGTAAACCTTTTTTGTTGTGAAAATACGGAAAAATAACATTTTTTGTTTAGTTGTATACAGAGTAGCAAAAAAAGTTATGATAAGTTATTGACCGAAATAGTACTACAACTGACGCTCTGTATAACTTTGCCCAAGAACAATATTGAATTTTGTTTCTCATACTAGAAAACCTCCCTATACCGAGTTTTATGTCAAAATCTAAAATACTTCTCAAGCAAAAACGAAAAATAGAAAATAAAATTGTAACTTTGATGCCCTGCATTTCACAAACTATCAACTTTAGGATTAAGATATATTTAGGTCAATTCACAAAATTTGATCTATAGTGTATGTTATGCTATACTGTATGTTTCTTTTTTTTCAATACACATTGTAATGGAAAGTTTCAAAATATTTATATCATCAAAAAATATATATATATATATATATATATATATATATGATAAAACTAAAATTCCACGACTTGGTTTGGTGGGTTATATTTCAGATCAAGCTTATTTTTTTCCTGGAAAGTACCTATAGAAGTATGAGGTTTTGTAAAATATTAAGATTCTAGGTTGAATGATCCGATTTAGATATTGTTATCCTAATTGTAATATCACGTATCATCAAATTTGCTGAAATTGAGATTCTAGCATAAATAAAAAGGAAGCAGTATTGCACACCGTCTGTAAAAACCACGTATCAGTTTAACCAATAAGAAACGAGCTATTTCATTTCAAAGAATACCGCGTAACATCATCCACAAAGTTAGCTGAAAAAATACCTCGTATGAACAGCAGTTTACACGTGGTCCTTACGAAGTGCGCATCACGCTGCGACAAGTTAGAGGAATAAGCTGATATTAGCAAACGTACGTTGATAATTATCATAATTAGAGTAGTATATATTAGTGTTAATATACTGAACATGTCATTTATTAGTCTTGTTTGAGTAATTAAGCAATACTTTGAATAAACAAGCCGTTTTTATTCAAACTTGATGATACATGTTTATCTCAAATTATGTCCCATTGTAATTCTTTTTGTAGTTGGATGATACGAGTTATTGTTTATTACTATTCCAAGCATTTAGCGAAAGAATCGGCGAAACATTAAAATGTCCTTGCTTCGTATTTCCTAATTTATAAAATTTATATTTGAAAAGTGCTGTTGTCAAAATGCTTACTTCAAGTTCAAGTAAATTTCCAAGATATATAGTTCTAAATTAAATACAACTGTTTGGAATTTATAGGAACCTCATCCAGCCGTTAATATCTCATAGCTTTGTTCCATTATAGATGTCAAGCAGAAGTAAAAGGATTCTGGCCGCTGCTTTGGAAACGAATAAAAACAGCAGGTTTTAGAAGAAGCGCTTACACATTCAATCATTTTTACAAATGAAGATGTTATTATTGAAAATATGACTAATGATGGACTTTCGAAAGGAATTTCTGAAATTGACTCTGTTCTCCCACTAACGTTGAGTTACAATGATATGAATGTAGATATCATAGACGCATTGGTACATAATGCTGAACATGTGTCACCATCTAAGCATGCGGACGGAAGTACAGTTTTACCAATTGCAGCTTCAGGCGAGAACAACGTTTCCCAACTATGTTATGCTGATATAGCTTCCCAATCTGTTTCAAAAACCTGCAAACATCAAGTGAACTTTTATATGGAGAAATGAATGCAGCAGCTAGAAGACAAGACCAGTCTGTTTCAAAGGATGCTGATCGGGAGTGGTGTAGTTAAAGACTAATTAGATCTTCTAATTCTGACAAGTTTGTTTACTTATTTTCCATTTATACATACTACTCAGGTGAGATACTACTACTACAAGGTTTTTACAATATTTATGAGTTTGTTGGTGGTAAAGTTCTTCGTTTGGGAAAAATTCAACAGAAGCAGATGAACAATGCTCGCTTTATGATCTGGAGAAAAATGTGCTATCGCTTTAAAATAAAGTTTCCTCTATTTTTTTTAATGTTGTATGATTATGATCAATCAATTAGAAACATGACATATAATAATAACATCTCAAAAAATTAGACCAGAAGCTTGAAATTATTAAGTACTATAGTTGTTGGACAGTAAGTAATAGTATCGCTTGAAAATCAAATTTTGTAATCTGTTTCCTCTGATTCAATAATGAATTTTTTTGTAATCTATGATTAAGATCAGTCTTAGAAACAGGACAGATGTGAGTATCCTTGAAATTAGACATATAATAATAACATCTTTAAAAACAGAATAGAAATTTGAAATCATCAAGTGCTATAGTTTTTTGACAAGTAATGGTGTCTGTTGTTTTGACAAGTCTTGGAAGTGACAAGTCCTTA